AACAGCGCCCACCTGTACCCCGCTCCTGGAACCCCTTACAAGGGGAACAGGAACCACTTTACTCTGGAAGGTTGCTCCGAACTCCTCATACTTCCAGAGCCAATGCCTGAGTGGCATAGAATATAAAAGGCTGAACCAAACATCTCATGGTGAGATCTCTATGATGCTATTCATGCTCTGGAGCTGCCCTGGGGATCACCCTTAGCCTCGGCTCCAGCTGAGACCACATACTTGCTCATCTCTGTCTCCTGCCCCGTCCAGCATCCCTCATATCTCTACAGGTGTACCCTGAGGGCTTGCCTCCAACAAATCACTTGCACAAGACTCCCTGTCTAGGGAACCTGACCTGAGAGAGAAGTATAGGATGATGAGGGCTCTAGAAATTGTATCATGTAAGGAGGGATAAAGGATGCAACATAGTCTAAGAATAAAAAGTATGGAAATGAAAAAAATAGACAATAGAAAAAGGACAGATTGGATGGAAATGAGACTAAGGCAGAATTTGGCTCAGTATCAGAAAGAACTTTCTAATACTAAAATATTTACAATGTAGATATAGACTGCCTTGCAAATTGGCAACCTGCAAAGGAAATATTCATTCAGAATCCAGAGGACTGTTGGATGAGGAGACTCTGGGCATTGTCTGGTCCGTGGTTGGTAAGACCAAAGGCAACACTCTAGTTGTTATTATTCTAGGTGGCCACAAGATGGCAGCAACAGAGAATTCCTCAAAAGATGATTAACCAGAAAATTCTAGTTGGTCCACAAATTTAATTCAGATCTTCAGACATTATAGGAGGTGTTGTATATACCATTTTAAGCCCTTATAGATTTATGACACACAAAATTACAAAGGAAAAGCATTTTCACCAAATTGCATATTTTACTATTGGAAAAAAATAAAATCTCAGAGGTCAAACAAAAGAGGTAAACCCTAATCATTAAGGTCACACTGAATCATTACATTCTGATAATGATGCTACTTCCATCCTGCACACTGATTTCTAGGTCCAGTCATTGTGTACCTTCCAGGGGAGGAATCTGTGTTTGAAATAAGCTCAACAATGAGGCAACATGGCTGGCCTCAGCCTTTCCTAGCCCGTGGTCCTCCAGAAAAAATTCTCCATATTGTTAGGCCTCTTCCTGCATTCACCTCAAAGTCTGCAGAATGATGTACTGGTACTGAGGGCCTGACACAACTCTATTGGGGAACCCAAAAATACCTGTGATTCTATGAAGCAACTTTACATCAGAGTTCTGTTTCCAACCCTGAGCCCAATTAATCTTACCAGGACCCACAACCCTCCATGTCTGGTCTCCATCTATGTCCAGTAGCTGGCCTCCAAGATGGCCCCCTAGTCATTCTTTCCTTTTGGTATCCATGCACTTGTATCGTTCCCACCCACACTGAATCATGGCTGGTCCTTGTGATTAATAAGATACTGGAGAAGTGATGATGGATGTCTTCTGAGGCTAGATGGTGAAAAATGTTGCATTTCCACCATACTCTTTTTGTATCACTCACTCTGGAGGAAACCAGATGCCATATTGTTGGGACATTTAGTTAACCCTATGGAGAGTTTCTTGTGGGAGAGTACTGAGGCCTCTTGCCAACAGCCAGCACTGGCTTGCCATCCATATGAGTGAGTTATCTTGGAAACAGGACCTCTAGACCTAGATGAGCTGTCAGGTGACCACAGCTCTGGCCAATATCTTAACTGCATCCTCAGGAGAGAATCTAGGTCTGAACTACCCAGCTATGCTGTTCCTGTGTTCCTGACCCACAGAAGCTTTGAGATAATGTTTATTGTTGTTTTAAGCTACTAAGTTTGACAGTAATTTATTATGCAACAATAGATAACTAATACAACACCCTAAATGCCTGCTTCCCTCACTATATACATTCCCTTTTCAAACATTTTCCTCTGGCTGCTGCCCTCACCATTCTAGGTAAGTAACAACAACTTTGCTAACTATGAAATGCAATAGACATTTTCTAACACTTACATTACTAAATATCTGCTTTATTTGACAATGGGATATCTCCTAGAGAATTCCTACTCCCTGGCTTCCATGATGCTCTACCAACCTGGTACTACAGATTTTCTCTTTCAGGTCTTCCTGCCTCCTTCTCCTCCAATGAGGCTCCTTTTCCACATGCCATACGAATGTTAATGTTGCCTCAGAGTCTACCTTTGTTCTCTTTGTTTGACCCTGAGTCAACTCTGTGGGCCATCCTCTTGTTCCCCTGACCATCACTCTGCAGATGACTACCAAATCCATCTCTCCAGCCTACATCCCACTCCAGAACATGACTCTCTCATATCCACCTGTGTGCAGGCAGTGATGTGCTGGAGCCCACAGTGATTCCTGAGAACCAATTGTACACATCTCTTCCTGACTGTATGTTTAGCATTGTCACAGGGGGAGCTTGAAATTGGCCACAGTGGGAGTATTTACACCATGGCATTTAACAAATGCTACTAATCAGGGCTTTATCAAATCCAGTTGATAAACACTTATCAGCACATCACTGTTCAACCAGATGCTTCACTTTCTATGTCCCATAAATACCTCAATTTAATATGTCCCAAACTTGAGTCTTATTTTTTCATTCATTTATTCAAAAATTTGTTTATTTTATTCAAAAATATTTCTTACAGTTTTTTCAGGTTCTAGTGAAGGAGAAACATCTGTACCTTCAATAAACTTGCATTCCATGTTTAGGGAGCAGCAGATAGGTCTGGCATGAGGCAAGTAGAGATCAGCCACGAAAGGCTTAATAAGCCTGATAATTGCCTTGGACTCTTCCTGAAGGCAGTGGGAACTTAGGGGTTCACTTACTTAGGGGTTTTAAGCCTAATGACATGATTTGGTTTGCTTTTTGAAATGTTCGCTGCTATTAGAGTCTTGGAAAGAGTCTAAATACGACTCACTTTCCCCTTTGAAAGTCTTCTCTTGGCTTCCAGAAAAACAGACTCTATGGTTTCTTTCCTACTTCTCTGTTAACTCTTTTGCTGATTTCTTGTCTTGTCCTTGACCTGTTGGTGAACCCGCAGGCTTTTGCCCTTGCTCCCTACAATCTACTCCCAACATTGCAGCCAGTTATTCTTTTAAAACTTGAATCAGGGCAGCCCGGGTGGCTCAGCGGTTTTAGCACCGCCTTCAGCCCAGGGCGTGATCCTGAAGACCTGGAATCAAGTCCCATGCCTGCTTCTCCCTCTGCCTGTGTCTCTGCCTCTCTCTCTGTGTGTGTCTCTCATGAATAAATAACTAAAATCTTTAAATAAATAAATTAAAATATGAATCAGATCATGTTATTCTTTGGAGAGTCCTATTCTTGGGAGCCTCCAATGGCTTGCTATTTCATTCAAAGTAAAGTCAAAGCTCCTTACATGAGGCCCAAATGATCTGCCTTGCTTATCTCTCTAACCTCTTGCTTACTCTGCTACAGCCACCCTGTCTTTCCTTGCACAAACTAGATATGCTTCTGCCTCAGACCCTGGTTCTTCTGTCTACCTGGAAACCTCTTTGCCCAGATATCCCACAGTTCAGTCCTTTTTTTATTTTTTTAAGATTTTATTTATTTATTCATGAGACACACAAAGAGAGGCAGAGATGTAGGCGGAGGGAGAAGCAGGACTTGATCCCAGGACCCTGGGATCACAACCTGAGCCAAAGGCAGACGCTCAACCACTGAGCCACCCAGGTGCCCCTCATAGTTCAGTCCATAATCTTCTTCAAGTCTTCTCTCAAATGTCACCTTTTCAGAGACATCTCCTCAACCACTTTGTTTAAAATTTCAGCTCTTCCTCCCATCCTGATACCCATTCTCCACTCTAGGAGTGAGATTAGGCTCCAGATAGAGTTGGCCACGGTTGCAAGTCCACAAAGATGGAGGAGGGAAATGCATGTGATGGTCAGGGGCTACTGATATGGGAAAGCCAGGCTTTGAGAGGATAAATCCTCTCAGATAGGACAAATCCTAACAGACTCTCTGTGGAATCTAGGACTTCTCTCAGGTCAGCACTTTCTCCAGCATTCCATCTTTTTGAACAGTGATACATGAAATTATTTTAACAATACAATTACATTTTCAAGTCCAGTTCTTTGTACTCACTGGGTACTTCCAGGAGGCTCATTCTCCCGTTGAAGCAGTATGGGCTATATCTGTATCTAGTTTCCAAGGATCTTATTAGAACAGGAAGTGTTTTAGGTTTTTGTTCCAACTCTGCCAGTTATCTGGGTCCCTGTCTATACCATAATTCTCTGTCTCTGACCACTATTTATTTACCTTTTAACACAATGGTAGAAGTCTCTGCCTGTTGGATCTTTTCTTTATGATATCTTATGGCTTTGTCTCAGTCTGTCAGGCTGGGCCCTAGGGGCATTTCTGAAACATAATTATGTTTTGGGTGTGGGTGGCTGTGCATGTAGGGATGGTCTGGGGCTTCGAATCTAAAGTTTAATTTGTGATAATGATAATTGATAATTAACTATTTGGATTCATATAATCACATTTTATTGACAACAGCAACAATAATAGCCATCATTTACTGAGTGCCTGTTATTGGCCAGCTGTTACATTAAATTAAACTGTTTAAGGATAAGAAATTCACTCCCACACAGTCAGGGATAGAGCCAGGATGTAGATTCAAGCTGACTGACTCAGGAACCCATTCTATTCTTTGACAAGCACCACCTCCTCATATTCTCCCCTCCTCCAAGGCTCTTGTTTCTCTTCATATGGGTTCCCAACTGTTTGCTGCCCCAACTCACTGGACAGGTGACATTGCCCAGCACAACCCACTTCCCTAGCTCATCCCCAGTTTTTAAAATATGCAGCCCAATCCTGCTGGCTCGCTCTCTCCATCTCCAGCTCTCACTGATTATGGCCCCGCAGTGAGTCCAACAGCACTATGGGAACCTCTGCTATAGAAGAAAGATGGCTAGTCCCACCCATGCAAGTTCCATTCCACCTCCCACCTGATTTCTCATACCTCCTCTCCTGGAGTCTGCCCTTGAACCAGGCCAAGCAGAGTTCTTGAGAGGCTTTGCCGATAATGTCCTCCATGCATGGAATATGTCCCATCCCTTCCAGTTGTATATGTCAGCTCATATCCCACATTTTCTGGGAATCTTTCTGTACAAGTCAGGGTTCTCAGGGTGCCAGAAACAGAAACTGATCCTTAAAAAAATCTTATTGGAATGATATAAGAAAGCTCACAGAATATATAGGATCTGACCTGGCAGGTCCCTGAAAGAAGAGGAATTCAGGTACCTGAGGAATCCAGGCAGCAGGAGTTAATGGGTGGTCCTTTTAGAAAGCTTCAGGATAGATTTTCCATCTTATGTTCCTGTGCTCAAGATTCAAATTCCTGGAAGAAAGAGCATGAATTGCCTGGTGGGTCACTTGGTCACACATATCCCATGGCCACCACACCTTAATTGAAAATCCCATCAAGACTGTGCAATAGGTTGGGGAAGTTTTGAGGGGATAACCAAAGTGCTACAACCAGAAGGGGGAAGGGAGGCCAAGCAGATCAGACGTGGTCCACAGCCTTTTCTTCCTTCTCTCAAGCCTTAGACCCACATTGCTGTCTTCTAATGTGGTGGCCTCTCGCCTGCCTATCTTGCCTACAGTTGTCATTAAAGCTTTGTGCAGCAAAATCACCCCAGGGCCATCATTGTTCTTGTTTCAGAAAGTCTGTAAACCCCTTGGAGCCAAGAGCTAAGGCTACCAATTCCATTATGTTTGCTCAGAGCCCTACTATTGGTCAGGTAACAGCTGGGTGATCTGCTGTATGTTGAGTGGAAGAACAGAACGCCAAGGAGGTGAGGGGCTCTAGGAAAATAGGAAGCTTTCCCTAGGGGAGCCCTTTACCCCCCAAATGTACCTATTTCCTGGTAAGAGCAACTAGTTCAAGAAGCTCTGGGGGGATTTCTATAGATCGTGTGCAGTTCAAGGCAGCTTCCACTAGATCAGGCTCCTCTAGACATCTGCCATGGTTAGATGTACTTCTGAAACTGTCCTGGTCATTGAATCTTCTTTGTTTGTTTGTTTTTTTTCTCTCTCTCTCTCACTTAGTCTTTTTTTTTTTTTTTTTTTTTTTTTTTTTTTACGATAGTCACAGAGAGACAGAGAGAGAGGCAGAGACACAGGCAGAGGGAGAAGCAGGCTCCATGCACCGGGAGCCCGACGTGGGATTCGATCCTGGGTCTCCAGGATCGCGCCCTGGGCCAAAGGCAGGCGCTAAACCGCAGCGCCACCCAGGGATCCCTAGTCTTTTGTTTAAAACCCTTATTAAGAACCACTGACTTTCCCTTTGCTAACCTGCAGTTTGGGAAAGAGACTGGACAGGGATTCAGGCATGTGCATCTGGGGCCAGCTCAATCTTCAACTGATTGTTCATTCATTCATTCATTCATTCACTCATTCAACAAGGCATTCAGAACCTACTATGTGCCAGACACCGTTCAAGGCACTGGTGGGGATGCAACAGTGACCAAAGAGACCAAGTTCCTACACTGCTAGAGCTTATATCCACACATGTGAGTGTCCATTTCCTGGAGGTGGGAGGCCTTCCTCAGATCTCATGGCTTTTTCAGAACTTTCATTCTAGATTCATAGGAAGGGAAGACAATTTTCTATATCTTGTTCAAGGCAAAGGGGTATCCAAATTACCCCAAGAGGTAAAACATGGTGGTGGTGTTTTTGAATCTGGATGAAAAGCTGGAGAAAGATAGAAGCAGAGACAGAGAGACACCACATAATAAAAGCTCCACAAAAGTTTATTCAATGCCATGTCCCCAGTCCCTACAACAATGCTTGACACATAATGCATGTTTAATAAATATCTCTTCAGTGGATGAGTCACATGGGAAAAACAAAAAGGGTGGTTGCGAGGGAAAACTTCCTTACTGTGACCTTAGGCCATTGCATATACTTCTTTCTCTCTTTCCTGCTTTGGGAATACTGCTCCTTCAAAGCAGCCCTTTCTGTAACTTCCCCGCATCCTCAGACATTTGGACCCAAGCGGGTCCAGGCCAGAGGACCCAGCATTAAACTGTGGGCTCTGCTTCTTCTCACTCTCCATGGTGCTAAGAAGAGGCTCTGGCTCATTATTGCCTATAACACGGAGCTTTTCCCTCTTCTGATGGAAATGTTCCCTCTCTTAATCTTTGTGTTCCTTCCTCAGAGAGGAGAATGTTTGCTTCTTAAGCAGAGAATATGATCTTCCTTAATGGTCTTAGGCCTACAGTCACAGATTTGTGTGCACACAGAAATAAACCAGGCAGGTAATGTGATAGACAATAAGGAGTGCTAGGGACTGTGACAAACTGGATCTCAGCCCTCTGTGGCCAAAACCATACTCTGAAAAAGCACTATGTGGGGGTGCCTGGATGGCTCAGTTGGTTAAGCATCTGCCTTCAGTTCAGGTCATGATCCCAGGGCCATGGGATCAAGCCCCCTGTTGGGCTCCCTGCTGCCTGCCACTCCCCCTGTTTGTGCTCTCTCTCTCTCTCTCTCTCTCTCTCTATCTCTGTGTGTGTGTTAAATAAATAAATAAATAAATAAATAAATAATTTTAAAAAGAAAGAAAGAAAAAGTACTGTGTGGACCAAAAGAACCTTCTCTGTAGACACTCTAAGACCAGTGGACCATCAGTTTATGACATCTACCAGTCACTGGGAGCAAGCTAGAAAGACTTGTCCACTTTTCACTTGTCACTCTACAGCAAGCCTCCCCTGAGACCACAGGACTGTCTGCCTGAATGGAGTGGGGAGAGGAAGACAGGCTCACTGGAAAATAGAATGTATGTTAATATCTTAAAATACCCTGCTAGATCCACATTGGCTCAGGTGGCAACTTGTCATGGGCTAAACTGCATAAAATTGCTGCAGAGGCACAATTACTGGCTCTAACAAAAGCTGCCTTTTAGAAGGGAGAGTCTGGGTCAGAGGATCAATTTTCTGATGAATCAGTGAACAATTCTGAGTGGAACTAATCAGGCTCATAATGTGTCACCCTTTCTTTATAACCCCTAGTTTAATGATCTGAACTCTGGCTATCCACCTGTGACTTCCCCACCACCTCCTCCTGCTTTCCCAACATGTGTGCAAACACATTGCATATGCATGGCACACGTGGACACACACAGAGAATGAGGATGTAGAAAAGTAGGTTTGAGGGATAAGAAGTCTCAGAGAGATGCTAGAGCCTCCTGGTAGGATTGGAAACAAGAGAGATACTAGAGGATGATGTCCAGTGGAAGGAATTTATCTTTTCCTGCCTTCAGGGAATCCAGAAGTTCTCAGGGAAGCATAGTCTTGGGTAACAAATTAGCTCCTTAGCAAGGCAAATTCCTGGAGGATTACAAGATGGGGAGTGTGCCCAGCAGCATGTCTAGTTACTGATGCTAAGGCAATAGGAAGGATAATCAATTATTTTTTTTCCCTCAGGATTCCAACTGATGTTATCCCATGAAGCACTGGGTCATCTCTCCAAAGCCATGTCAGGTCAGGTCTGGATTACCCATCGTATTAGTTAAGGTTATACTGGTTTTAGGGCAGAGAAATGGACTTTGGCTGACTTAAACAAAAAGGCGATTATTGGAAAGTTCCTGGGGGCTCTTATGAAATCAAAGGAAAGTTGAATAACCACAGCTTGGAAAGGGAAAGAGCAGAGCTCCATGGTTGTGTTGGTACGATTGTTTCAGCCTGCCTGGGCTTTCTCGCTCTTTGGGGAAAGAAGATCTTATAGGTCCTGTGAGTTAGCTTGGGTTCCCTGCCAGCAGAGGGATCCTGGTACAAGTGATTTTTCTGGGGAGTGCTCTCAGCAGAAATCTGCAAGGCAGTGAGGGAAGCATGATAGAACAGAAGTTTATCTATTTTCAGTCTGATCCTACAGTGAAATCTGCAGTGTTACCCCATTTTGAAGCAATGGAGTATGCCTTTGTACCCCCATGTCCATCAGTTATTAGCTGCAGGCATAGTTTCTCAAGCATTTTTGGGCAAGGTTATTCAAAAGAAGGGGGTAGCTGTGAGCAGCTAGCAGCCAACACTCAGAGCAGTTGGGGGCTGGTCCATTGCCCTTGCAAGACGATCCAGGATCTACGCAGAGCACCAACTGTATCCATCCATGGCACCTGGCTTGGGTAAGGTGTGCACCCAAGAACAACCAGCCATTGAGAAAAAGAGAAGCCAAAAACCTGAGATCTAGACATGGCGGCAGGGGCTGTTTCCAGAGGTAAGTGAACAGAAGAGTGAAGGACAGCTATGCCAAATGGTGTCCAGCATATATCTACTTGTATCACTTCCACTGAAAATATCCTTCTGGACAGTGTGCAGAGCTGTGGCCAGCTGTGTCTCTTCTTCAGTAAGGAGAATACTTGCTTCCCAGGTACCCAACATAATCTTCCTTCATGGCTTTAGGCTTGCTGCCACAAGTTCCAATGTAAGCAGAGATAGGCTGGCCAAGTTGTGTCAATTGTCATAGACAATAGGGAGTGGAGACAGTCTACCACAGTCCTTGACACTCTATGTTGTCTATCACAGTTGATATTACTGCCTGGCCTCTCTCTGTATGCATTTGAATGTATGGTCCCAAGCCTAAACCCATTAAAGAGGGTTTATGTTAGGTGCCTAGGTATTTACCTAAAAGTAGAATCTGTAAGTCATAGGGTATAAATGTGTTGAGCTTTAGTAGACATTGCCAAAGAGTTTCCCACGATGGTTGTATCATTTGATACTACTTTTGATAGTGCATGAAAGTTCTAATTGCCCCACATCCTTACCAGCACTTGGTAATGTTTGTCTTATCTCATAGTGATTTTAATCTGTATCTCTCTGATGACTGATAAAGTTAAGCATCATTTTATATGTCACTTTTTACTGACTTATGGGAATGCTCTACATATTCTGTATATAAGTCCTTTGTCAGATATATATCTAAAAATATATATTGATATGTATAGCTATAGATGCATATATGCACAGATACATATAGAATGGGAGAAGATATATATAATTTATATGTAAATATATTTATTATATAACTTTATATTTAAATATAAATATGTTAATATTAATTAATTTATTATACATATTTATTAATTTATTATGGTATTTAATAATTTATTAACTGAATAGTAACAGATTTATATTTATTTATTTATTTATTTATGGATTTTATGTACAGATTTATATTTAAATATTTCTTCAAAATATATATGAAAATAAATGTTTAATACAAATATATCTATTTATAATATATAATTACATATATAATATGCTATATATATATATAAATCACTCTGTGACTGGCTTGCTTTTTAAACATTTTCTTAAATAATTTTTCTTAAGATTTTATTTTTGG